AAAAAAATAAAAATAATAAAGATAAATAAGATATATTTTTATATTTTTAAAAATATATAAATTCACTTTAAAATTATCTTAAAAATATATATATTTATATATTTTTAATTTAATATATTTATATCTTTAAAATCATTTTAATTTTTTTTTATCAGATTAACCAAGCATTACCTAAATGTGTAGTCACGGAGAAAAGATTTTTTATTAAATTATGTTTGATGGTTTGAGTTATTATTAATGGATTGCTTTAATTAATACGCAAATTGTCAAACTAAAATTACTAACTCCACTCCCTGCAAATCCTTTATCTTTCTTTATATATATATATATAAATTTTGGGTTACTTATATGTATTATGATTAATTTTCGAATCTATTAAATACCCTATAAGCTTAATAAATAGATAAAATATTGTAAAAGTGACAAATATATACAGAAAAGATTGAATCTGGATATAAAAAAAGAAATAAATTCTTTTCTCTGTTAGACCACTACTTTAAATATATTTCTTTTATTAACATAAATATCTTATTCAGTTTGCCTGTATCTTAACTAATTTTATAAATTTTAAAATTAATAATTATATAAGTTTTTAATAACCTTGAAATTTATAAGATTTAAATTAATAATATCTAAAAAATAAATCTAAAACTTTACTTTATCTTTATATAATCAAGTGAAGATTGAATTGCAATCAATAAAATTACTTGGAATTATGTGAATGACCATGTATCATAGCTGCCACCCATGCACATGAGCTCAATCTTTATGTTTCTGTATATTCTCAAAGCGTGCAGCGTGCAAATTCTCTACCGCGCAAATGATTGCTACTGGGTCCTGTCTTGAACGAACTTTTTAGGATTATGGTAGTAAATGTTTAGAGTGTTTTTAACTTAAAAACATATTAAAATAATTTTTTTTTATTTTAAAAATTATTTTTAATATTAACATTTGAAAACATATTTTTTTTCATTTTAAACAAAAGAAAATTTTCAAAATTTTTGAAAACGTGGACACCTAGAATCTAAGAAGCCATATTAATTTAAAATATTTTTTTATTTAAAAATATATTAAAATAATTATTTTTAAAAAAAATTAATTTTAACACCAGTATATTAAAATTATTTAAAATTATATTTTTTTAAAAAAAAACACGATTTTAATAACATTTTTAAATATTGTTTAAGTTACATGAGGACTGTTGGAATTTTGAAAATACTTTTTACTTGAAAATATATTAAAATAATAATTTAAAAAAAAATATTTTTGGCACAACATGTCAAATTGATTTGATAATGTAAAAAATTTAATTTTTAAAAATTCAAATATCTAAGAAACACAATTTTAACTGCATTCTCAGACATTGTCTAAGCTATATAAGGACCATTGAGATTTTAAAAATGTTTTTTGTTTAGAAATATATTAAAAAAATTATTTTTAATATCATGTATCAAAATAATTTAAAAAAATAAAAAAAATTAATTTTTTTTAAAAATACTATTTCAATGGCCTGTTTGAAAGTATGAATGTTGTTGTTTTTCAAATAATTTTTTATGCTAAAATACATGCTAATGATATTTTTTTAAAATTATTTTTGATATTAGCTCATTAAAATAATCTGAAAATATATTAATTTAAAATTAATAAAAAAATTATTATTTTTTTTAAATATTTTTAAAATACAAAAATAAATAGTTGCTAAACAGCCACGGCAACCAGAATTACAGGTACATAGTGAAGAGACGAGCACAAACATGGCATATGAGAGCATCTCCAATGGAGAAGCCAAATGAATAGTCAAAAATAAAAAATTAATATTTTGGCTTTTCTTTGTTTGTTTTGCATACTCCAATGGAGAAGCCAAACAAAATGCTAAAATGCCTTTTCTCTCCCACAAATGCTATTTCTACATATCTCTTTAAAGAGCCAAAACCAACAAAGTGGTTATTCACACGCACAAAGGCATCCAAGTTAATTAAATCTCACTCGCTCGTTTAATCATGCTTGGCTGTTCAATGCTAGCTATAATTAAAGTAATTAAATTGTGTTTTCTGTTAGGTTTCCACTAGCAAGTTTGTTATCAACCCAGGAGGATCTTGGTGAACCCATGAAAGCCAGGGGGCCCTGTTTAAGAATTTACTCTTGTGGTGAATTGTGAAGTTGGGAGAAAAACCAACGAAGGGCTTTTAATCCGGTCGAAAATGTTAGAACCCAATTATTAAACACAACATTACATAGTCAGGTTGATTTTGGATATATTTATTTTTGTGTTTTAAAAATATTTTAAAAAAGTTTATTTTTTTACTTTAAATTAATATATTTTTAGTATTTTTAAATTATTTGGATGCGTTGATATAAAAATAATATTTTTTAAAAATATTTTAAAAAGTAATCACAAACATATTTCTAAATACACCTGTTAATTTTAATTAAATTCTAATTTATAATTAGAAAAAATATTAACTTAGTAAAATACATTTGAAAATCCAGTTGATTTGAACATATTAACTTGGTAATGTCATATATTGAGTAATTAAAAATAATTATTAACTTATATCTTGTATGATAATTTTCAGGTGGTTTCACTAAGGCTATGTTTGTTTCTCGGAAAATAGTTTCCGGGAAATCACTTTCCAAACTTTCCTGTGTTTGTTTGTCATTAGAAAAGTTGGTCAACGGAAAACATTTTCCGGTCAACAAAAAACACTTTCCAGTCAACAGAAAACACTTTCCGGTCAACGAAAACACATTTTTCGGTCAACGGAAAACACTTTCTGGTCAACGAAAATATTTTTTAGTCAAAAAAAAATTTTGCTTAATTTTCAGGAAAGTGTTTTCCTTTTTAGCTGTGTTTGTTTTCCGGAAAGTGGTTTCCGGGAAAACACTTTCCAAACTTTCTTGTGTTTGTTTTGCAGAAAGTGATTTCTGGGAAATCACTTTCCAAACTTTCTTGTGTTTGTTTTGCAGAAAGTGATTTCTGGGAAATCACTTTCCAAACTTTCTTGTGTTTGTTTGTTGTTATGAAAGTTGATAAAAGGAAAACACTTTCCAGTCAAAGGAAAATTTGGCTTGATTTTCAGGAAAGTGTTTTCCTGAAAAATTTGGGAGGAAAACACTTTCCGGAAGTTGTGAAAAGTTTAGAAATGTCATTATTTGCTGATTATATCAAATTTGATCCTCAAACTTTTGATTGCTATATATATTTTGTTTTGAATATTTATTTTTCAATTTCATTTCTTAAAATTTAATTTTTATATTTACTTTGGTCCTCATTTTTATAATTGTTATTTGCTTTTCTCCTATTA